TTCCCTTTTCTGTGTATCTTCGCCAACACTTGTTATTTCTTGTCTTTTTAATAATAGCCATTCTAACAGGTGTGAGGTGATATCTTATTGTGGATTTGACTTGTATTTCTCAGATTATTAGTGATGTTGAACCTGTTTTCATGTGCCTTTTGGCCATCTGTTTATCGTAGGGAAAATGTCTATTCAGTTCCTCTGCCCCCCCCACTTTTTTTTTTTTTTTTTGAGAGAGAGAGAGAGTGAACAGGAGGTTGGGGAGAGAGAGGAAGAGGAGAGAGAGAATCTTAAGTAGGCTTCATGCCTAGGGCGGAGCCTGATGTGGGGTTCCATCTCCCAACCCTGAGATCATGATCTGAGCCAAAATCGGGAGTCAGATGCTTAACCAACTGAGCCGTTCAGGTGTCCCCCTCTGCCATTTTTTAATCACTCTTTTATTTATTTATTTTTGCTATTGAGTTGTATGAGTTTCTTAAATATATTTTAGATGTTAACCCTTATCAGATAACCTCCCATTCTGTGGGTTGCCTTTTTATTTTGTTGATGTTTTTCTTCACTTGAAGCTTTTTAGTTTTGTATAATCCCCTTTACTTATTTTTGCTTTTGTCATCACCGCTTCTTGAGTCGTATCTAAAAAGATATTGCTAAGACCAATGTTGAGAAGCTTGCCACCTATGTTTTATTCTAGGAGGTTTATGGTTTCAGGTCTTAAATTCAAGTCTTTAATTCATTTTGAGTTTACTTTTAGTATGGGGTAAGATAGTGGTCCAGGTTCATTATTTTTCATGTGGCTGTCCATTTTTCTCAGCACCATTTATTGAAGACACCGTCCTTTCCCCATTTTATACTGCCTCCTTTGTTATAAATTAATGGACCATATATGTGCAGGTTTATCTCTGGGCTCTCTGTTCTGTTCCATTGATCTATGTGTGTGCATACTGATACCATACCATTTTGATTACTATAGCTTTATAATAATTTGAAATCAGGGAGTGTGATGCCCCCAACTTTCTTGTTTTTTCTCAAGATTGTTTGGTTATTCAAGGTCTTTTATGGTTTCATACAAATTTTAGTTGTTTGTTCTATTTCTGTGAAAAATGCCATTGGAATTTTGATAGGGATTTCATTGAATCTGTAGATTGCTTTGGGTACTGTGGGCATTTTAACAATATTAATACTTTCAATCCATGACTCTGGAATGTCTTTCCTTTTATTTATGTCTTCAATTTTTTTCATCAATGTCTTATAGTTTTCAGTGTACAGATCTTTCACCTGGGTTAAATTTATTCCTCGTTATTTTTTTCTTTTTGATGTAATTGTAAATAGGATGTTTACATTATTACATTATGTTTACAAATTATCTTCCTGATAATTTGTTATTAGTGTTTAGAAACACAACAGATTTTTTAAAATTTAAATTCAATTTAATTAACATACAATATATTAATAGTTTCAGAGGTAGAAGTTAGAGATTCATCAGTTGCATATAATACCCTGTGCTCATTACATCATGTGCCCTCCTTAATGCCCATCACCCAGATGCCCCATCTTTCCACCCACCTTCCCTCCAGCAACGCTTAGTTTTTTCCCTACAGTTAAGAGTCTCTTATGGTTTGTCTCTCTCTCTGTTTCCATCTTATTTTATTTTTCCTTCCCTTCCCTTATGTTCATCAGTTTTGTTTCTTAAATTCTACATGTGAGTGAAATCATATATTTGTCTTTCTCTGACTGACTTACTTCTTTTAGCATAATACCCTCTAGTTCATCCACATTGGTGCAAATGGCAAGATTTCATTCTTTTTGATGGCTGAGTAGTATTCTTCTGTGTGTGTGTGTGTGTGTGTGTGTGTGTGTGTGTGTGTACTGCATCTTCTTTATCCATGCATCTGTTGATGGACATCTGGGCTCTTTGCATAGCTTGGCTATTGGAAACACAACAAATTTTCAAGCATTGATTCTGTACCCCACAACTTTACCAAATTCATTTATTAGTTCTTACAGTCATATTTCTTATATTGTTCGGTTTTACTCATTTCAGTAACTTTTGTTTTATTGTAATTTAATATGTGATAATATTATTTGATTTTTAAATTTTTGTTTGCCTGACTATATTATATCTTCAAAGACTAAGGTTATTTAAAATCTCTTTAGTATCATACACAGAATCTTAGCATTTTAAAAAGCTTAGGTGCTCAGTTAGCATTTTTGGATGATTTAATATGGCAATATTAAATGATTATTTTTTTAAGATTTTATTTATTAGAGAGTGAGCAGGAGAGAGAGAGCACAAGAGGGAGGAGGAGCAGAGGGAGAGGGAAAAGCAGACGCCCCACTGAGCAGGAAGCCTGACTCGGGGCTCAATCCTGCGACCCTGGGATTATGACCTGAGCCGAAGGCAGACGCTTAACTGACTGAGCCATCCAGGTGCCCGACTGATTATTTAAATCCCAGATTTAAATTAAGTTTATTAGTCATTCCTTATTATTATTGTAAAAAAAGTAATTTCTTATTTTTAGATACTAGAATTTACATATTAGAGAATGAGTAAGATAACATCTAGCCCGAACTCTGCATCTCACTTTCTTAATCAATAAAAGTTGAGAGTTTGGGTAGGCAATTTGTAATGCAAGTTGTATGATGTAGTTAATATAAAAGTTTTATCCTTTTTAGAGGTTCTTTTGGTGTGTTTTTAATACAGATTAGTTGATAAGTTATAAAACAATCACTTAAAACAGGTTAATCAGAAAATTTCTGTGGGACATTGTCATATTTGAGTATAATATTGTTAGTATAAAATAATCTATAGGGATATAAGATTAAGGGGGCTTAGCCATGAATATGAAGAATATGAATAATAAGCCAATCAAAAATGAATAAAACATTGAATGTATTAACTTAAATGCCCAGAGCAATAAAGTAGATGTATAAATATAGATATGGGAAATAGTATATGTGCATGTGTGTGTATGTGTATGTATAGAAAGAATGAGATATTCCATGTTAATGAATTTTCAGATAACTGAATACTGTCCCTCAAATTTTAAAAATAATTTTAAAAGTATCAATTTTTATTTTAAAGCTTAATAATATTTCCTTGCTTTATTAGAGTAGTTTCTCTCTTCTTTTGGAGTTTGCTGCCTTTTCTGTCAGTTTATCTTTTTTACAAGTCAATTTGATTCATTCATTGTGTTTTTGAGAAATCATATAACCAAGGTTCAGAGAATACTGTATGGCTTGAGAATCAGTAAGTGTTGAATGGTAGCTTGAGGGTGTGCCCTACAAAATTACAAATCATAAATTTGAATGAGTTTGGGCCCTATTTGTATATATATATTTTCCTATTTGTATATTTTTATTTCTTGACTATATTCTGGATGACGTTCTGAATAATTGATACTATTAGGTTTGTAAAATGCATTAACTAATGCTTCTAATAAATACTACTATTAAGACAAAAGGGATAAAAAATAGTATAATACTTGTGTACCCACCACTCAGTTTAAGAAATAAAATACTGTATTATTATTTACCAATACTGTTAAATATTTGAATGCTTGTGATATGCTGCTTTAGGCATTGTGTGTATAGCAGTCAACAAAACAAACAAAAATCCTTGATCTCCTAGAGTTTGTATTTTAGGAATGAATTTGCCATTGCCTAATAATTGTCATTGTTCCTGTTTTTAGCATTTCCCCCATCCTTTTTTTTTTTTAAGATTTTTATTTATTTGAGAGAGAGAGAGCATGAGCAAGGGCACAAGTAGGGGGAGGGGCAGAAGGAGAGGGAGAAGCAGACTCCCTGCTGAGCAGGGATTCCCAAATTGGGGGCTCCATCCCAGGATCCTGAGATCATGACCTGAGCCTAAGGCAGACAATTAACCAACAGAGCCACCCAGACGCCTCTCCCCCATCCTTTTTAGAGTGCTGATTTGAATCTTATGTGGTCATGAATATTAGGGAGAATAGTTATTAGAAGTGATTGCAAATAAAGAATATACAGGCACTGTCTGATAGCATAAGATGTGTTCTATCAGTGCATTTGGTTTGGAGTTTGTTTTGTACACACTAAGACATTCAGTCCCTAATACTTGGTTTCATTTCCTCATCAGCACTATCCTAGTGTTGGTGACCCTAGTTTCATTAGGCCCACAAGAGGAAAAGGTTCTGGGTCACCTCAAATAACATTCTTGTGTGTCTGTGTAATACACAATTGAAGGAAATAAAACTTATTTTTTAAGGCATTTGAAAGAAAGTTGACTTATTTGTTTTTAAAGAGAGAAAAGCAAAGCATAAGAGACTTTTTTTTTTTAAGATTCATTTATTTATTAGAGAGAGAGCATGTGCACATGCCTGCACCCAAGTGTGGGGAGGGGCAGAGGGAGAGAGAGAATTCCAAGCGGACTTCGTGCTGAGCATGGAGCCGTGGGGGGTGGGGGGGGCTTGATCCCACAACCCCAAGATCACAACCTGAGCTGAAATCAAGTCATATGCCCAGCGGACTGAGCCACCCAGGCACCCCAAAAGTTGACTTTTAGTTTAAATCTAAAGCTAAAACTTTTTCAAGAAAAAGTGGCACTTTAGATCCAGTAACTTAAAGTTACAGATTTGTTTTCTTCTGATGGGCTTGAGAACTTTTTTTTTCCTTTTCTAAGTAAGCTCTATGCTCACTGTGGGGCTTGAGCTCACCATCCCTTAGATCAAGAGTCTCATACTCTATCGACTAAGCCAGCCAGGTGCTCCTGGGCTTGAAAACATTAAAAAAAAAAAAAAAATTGTGGTATAATGTAAAGAAAACCGGAAGTGACATCTAAGAATTACAGATTCAGTGTTTCTTATGATGGACTAGGAACTTAAAACAACAACAGAAAAATCTGTGGTGTACTATAAAGAAAACCACAAACTAGAGCACTATGAAAGAAACCAGGATAAATAGAAATGAATAAACATCAAAGTTAGCATTAGAGTATGGTGTTCTCTGAACATTATTTTTATTTGGTGTTGTTTTAGGTATCGTCAGATCCTGGAAAAAGCCATTCAGTTATCTGGGGCAGAACAACTAGAAGCTTTGAAAGCTTTTGTGGAAGCAAGTAAGTGGAATGAAAATTCCATGTTTGCCTTGTATTATCGAGTTAGGACTTCGAAGCTTGCTCAAGCTTGTTTTATATCAAGTTATCAATGTAATTTTCATTGAGATTAAATTTAAATATACATTGAAATTCATTTTAGAATTTAAGCTTTACTAGGTAATTTTTCAATAAGTTGTCTTCAGAGTTACATTACCAATTAAGGTTTTATACAGTAATTGATACAGTAACTGATGAAAGACAGTGTAGCATAATGATAAGAAAAATAGTCTAGATTCAGTCTGGTCTGTTGTTTTATTAGTTGTGTGTTCTTGGATAAGTTAATTCCTTTGTGCCTCCATTTCCTTGTCTATACAATGGGGATGTGATAGCTACCCTGTAGAAATGTTGAGAGGTTAAATGAGTTAATATACCAAGTAAAGTGCTTTGAATAGTACCCGGCATATAATAAGCGCTATATAGGTGTTGACCGTTATTAACGTTAAGAACATTCCATTTGAGAATGGGAACTAGACATTTCCATTCTTCAAGACATTCTCACCTACTCCCTGACTTCAAACATATCCAGTTATTTTGAAAATTACTCAAAATCCAGGCTGGAATTGATACTGAGTTAACAATATTAATGACACTTGAGAGGGCTTTACAGTGTACAGCGTGCTTTCACATACATTCTCATGAGAAGTGCTAGTTTATGTAGGAATTTCTTTCTAACAGTCGTTAAGTGCCTAATGACACTTGTAATCAAAGTGTTTTCTCATCTGTATCCGGTTTTATCCAAGAATGAATTATGATTAATATATCATGAACTGATTACAAGCTTGTTACAGGTTACCGTAAGTTACTGCCTCAAAAAATTGGGGCCTGCAATGTGTGTTGAGCTGGCTGTTGCTTCAGAAAAACTGTTAGGAATGGTTTTATTGAGAACATTGCATTGTAGTAGCAAAAGAATAGTGATTTTTATTATAGACTTTGATCTTTATATAAACTTTGAATCCAGTGAACCAATGAAAAGCAGTCTACTGAAAATCATTTACATCAGCTGAACAGTTTTTGAATGATCATTTATTTTCCCAGTAACTGCTGATTTCAGACTTAATTTATCTGAGCAGTGGTCACAAGCACGATGCATCTTTTAAAATATAATAATAGTGATAATAATAATGAACATTTGTTGAGTGCTTTGTTCCCCATGTTGTTTAAAGTGCTCTATGTATAATGCATTTAAGCTTCTCAGCGGCCTTAGCCACATTGTACAGAGGAGGAAACAGAAATAACAGACGAGCTAAATTTCTTGTTGGAGGGTGTCTGATCGGGAGTGGTGGAAGCAGCAAGGCTTCAGAGCTCTCATCCTTTATCACATACAGTAATAAAAACTCATACATGTTTATGAATTATGTCATTAAATATGTCTGTACATCTAGTGCTGACTTCAGTTCTTATTTGTTGTTTTTATTGGGAAAATACAAGTGGTGGTAACTGTCACTACTTGCTTTATTTAAATTTCATGAAAATTATCTGTTTCTTCTTTAACTCCTTTTTGTCACCAGGTGGTATATAAGTACATACATAAAAATATAGGTGTTTCTGTGCCTTCCCTTTGTAGAACAATAAGGAAGAGAAGGAATAATGTAAAATTCTCAAATGTAAAACAAAACTTTTCCCCAGCCATTTCTGTTTCTTAGGAAAATTATGGGATTTTTACTGTTTTAGTGTAGTCATTATGTAATCAAATAATTCAGCATAAGGAAAACTGATTCTATAATATAAGATGATATGGGTGTGGAAGTCCCTGAATAATGCAGTGAAGGTTGTACTAATCTATATTGTTCTTAATGTTAATTTTAGGCAAAAATTGATTGCTTAATGAAAATTGATAAAATTATTCATGTTTTCTTATCTCTTATTTTTTTTTGACAAGTGGTGAATGAGAATGTCAGTCTCGTGATCTCTCGACAGTTGCTGACTGATTTCTGTACCCATCTCCCAAACCTGCCTGATAGCACAGCCAAAGAAATCTATCATTTCACCTTGGAAAAGATCCAGCCTAGAGTCATTTCATTTGAGGAGCAGGTAAAAATCTAGACCAGTGATTTTTGAACATGAGATAGCAGCAGTTATTTTGAGAGATACTATGACATTTTTAAAGGAGATGATTATCCAGTTTTATTTTTGACAAAACAGTGCGCCAAACAGCATGTTACAGTATAAAACTAAATATTAGGATGTTGTAACTCCAGCTGACATTTGCTTGGATATTACAGTTTGATTTACAAACCAAATATTACTCTTTAGACAATTTTTAAGAATCAGAAAAATTATTAATAAGGCTAAAATCATAGGAAAACGCTAGCATTATATATACAGTTAACATAAAAGTAAAATTTAATATTTAAACTAAATTATTACCATAATCCACATTGCAGAAGTGTGTTATTTCAGTTCCGTATTTTGATATTCTGTGAATGCAAAATTCATAAAAAAAATTGGGGTGGTCTAGTTAAACTAGTACTATTTACTTGTCAGTTTAATATGTTGAATGAAAGCATTATCACAGTAGATTAACTTAGCCTCCATTTATTTTAGTCACTAATGTCAGCTGATATAATTTAACATGTCTACCTACTATTCCAGGTTGCTTCAATAAGACAGCATCTTGCATCCATATATGAGAAAGAAGAAGATTGGAGAAATGCAGCCCAAGTGTTGGTGGGAATTCCTTTGGAAACAGGACAAAAGTATAGTAAATAGTGGATATTGGATGGAGATGTATATAGGATATTTATCATTGTTCACTTATGTTTTTTCTCACATTCTAATGAAAGAAACATCATAAACAATAAGTACAAAAATTTTGCAGTATGTTAGAAGGGGATAAGTGCTATAGAGAAAAGTAAAGGGAAAGTGGAGAACAGGTTGTATCATTAAAAAGGGTGATTGGAGTGGTAGGGTGGTCCACATACAACTTCTCAGACACTTGAAGGAAGTAAGGGAATGGCTATGAGCTGAGAGAAGACTCTTAGGAGATCCTCTTAGAGAGGATGGCTAATGTAAAGGTGCTAAGACAGGAGCATGCCTGGAGTGTTTTCAGAAGATCAAGATACCAGTGTGGTTGAAGTGGAGTGAGCCAAGGAAAGGTGGGGGGCTGAGATCAGAGAGTACTGAGGACCGGATTATGTAGGTTCTTGTAAGTCATTGTAAGGCCTTTGGCTTTTCTCTAAGTGAAATGAAGGGGAGCCATTGGAGGATTTTGTATGGAAGAATGACATGATCTGACTTATATTTTAGAAAATCATTCTGCCTACTGGGTTGAGAATAATTGTAGGCAAGTAATGATAGAAGTTAGGACATGAGTTAAGAGGCTTATGTACTACTGCAGAAGAGATGGAGATTGTGAGAAATGTTGGATTCTGGATATGTTTTTAAGGTAGAGCTAAGGATTTTCTGGTAGCTTAGATAATGGAGTATGAGAAGAAGAGCCAAGATAAATCCTGGATTTGGTCTGAACAACTGGAAAGATGGAGTTGCCATCTACTGAGTAGTAAAGAATAGGTTTTGAGGGAAGATCAAGAGTTCCATTTTGGACATGTCATAACCAAGTGAAAGTATCTAGTAGGGAGTTGAATATATTAATCTGTAGTTTAGGAGAGAGATCTGAGCTACATTTGGGAGTCATTGATATATAGATGGAATTTTTTTTTAAGTTTTTTTTTTTAAGATTTTATTAATTTGTTTGTGAGAGAGAGCACGCACAAGCAGGGGGAGCGGCAGGCAGAGGGAGAAGCAGGAGAAGCAGACTCCCCGCGGAGCAGGGAGCCCTATGCGGTGCTCGATCCCAGGACCCTGGGATCATGACCTGAGCCGAAGGCAGACGCTTAACCAACTGAGCCACTCAGGTGTCTCTATGTAGATGGAATTTAAAGCCATTATATCAGTGAGATCCCCAAGGGAGGAAATATAGAGAAGAGGACTAAGTACTGATTCCTATAGCACTCGGCATTAAGAGGTCAGGGGCAGGAGGAAGTAAAAAGTATTTAGGTAAGAAGACAACCAGAAGAATGTGGAGTGTGGTCGCCTAAAAGCCAAATGAAGAAAACGTATCAAGGAGCAAGTGATCAGCTCTGGTGTTGCTAGGTCAAGTAAGATGAGGAATGATGGTTAGCCATTGGAGTTAGTAATGTGGAGGTCATTGAGACACTTGGCAAAAGCTGTTTTGGTGAAATGGTAAGCATGAAAAAGCGTGATTGGAATGGGAAGAGAAGAGAGAATGGGAAGAGAAGAATTGGAGATGGTATGTATGGGCAACTCTTTGCAGAAGTTTTCACAAAAGGGAGCAGAGAAATAGGGTAGAAGCAGCAGAGATTATTTTTTCTTTTATGATTTTTCGGAAAGCAAAAATTTGATACGGGGGAGTAAGAGAGGATTCTGGCAGGAGTAGACAGAGGGGAAGGAAACTAGTGGAGGGATAGGCTTTAGATAGAAGCATAGATAATTCACCTGTGACTGAGTTTCTCAACCCCAGCACTGTTCGCATTTTAGATGGACTAATTCTTTTTTGTTGGGGTTGTCCTGTGTATTGTGAGATGCTTAGCAGCATCCCAGACCTCTGTCATTAGATGCCAGTAGCATCATTGCCCCTATTTGTGACAATCAGAATGTCTGTAGACATTGCCACATGTTCCCCGATGGGCAGAATAGCCCCCGCGATCTACAGTAACAGCCAGCAGTACAGAGTATGCGGGTGCTGTATTAGCCATGTGCTGGGGGAGTTTGTGCAAGTACTCGTTGATGGCTTCAGTATTCTTAGTGAAGTCAGAATCGGTCATCAGCTGGAGATGTGGATGGGGGTGGGAGTGTTGAAGTTGAGGGAAGACAAAAATAGGAAAAATTCTCTAGGAGAGTGAGTAGACTAGGAATATACTTGGCAGCAATAAGGGCTCATCTGAAGATTGTAGTGATTGAAATGAGATCATTCAGATTGGTTAGGTGTTTTTCTCCATCAGAGTTCAGCTACATGGGTGCAGGAAAGGAGTAGGCAAACGTAGGTTTAATCACAGTTACAGTGTTGCCCAACAAGTGTGACAGCAAGAGATGGACAAGGAAGATGAGTGCATATTCAATAATTAACAGTGATTGACCATAGGGGTTAAACTAGGTAAGGGGTGAAGTGAGGCCTTTAAGGGGAAAAGACAGTGGCAATATAATGAGTTCAGTAGTTTAGAGGTCACAGTGGGTTCAGTGGGTTGTTGGGTTTGGGATGCTAGACTAAGTGAGAGGGAGAAACAATTAGAAAGAATTAAGATGATAATTTATAACTTTTATTCAATTAATCTTACCTTTTGATAAGTATTTTTAAAAACATCTCTAGTTCTTTATGAAGCATTCCTCCCAAGTACATTGTACAAGAAGGAGAGCAGATGTGAGATTATTGATTATGTTTTTTAAATATGCTTCCCCTTTCAATTGACAAGTATAAAAATACCAACTGGGAATGATTTAAAAATATTTCAGCTGCTTCTCTGCTCTTTTACCAGGTAAATGAGGAATTCTTTTTTTGTCTTCATTAATATTTGTGATGAATGATAAGGCAGACAGTAGTTCCGGCATCTTGCTTTTTGTGCATTGCTTATTATGAAATTATTAGACAGTGCTGCTCCTTGAAAAAGCAGCCAGTTTGAGAAAGGCTTCATTATGTGGATGTTGAATTTTGCTTTCCAAGCCTTCCTGTTCATTTGTTTGTTTGTTTTTCTTTGATAGTTTGAAAAGGCTGGGCTTTCTTATTTGCTTTGGTCTTATTCTGTGCGGAGTATTTTCTTCATAGGACAGGGCAATTGATTTACTTTCACTGGCAGTTGAAATAAATATAAAATTAGATATTGTTCTTTGTAGTGACAGTAATTATCATTTTGAACGTCCTGTAGCATTATCTTTATCTGTGAGGATATCAGAGAACTGAAAATTTAGCAGTTTTCTAAACAAGTTAACCTAAAAGTGATTAAAAGTAGAATCTGGATAAACGATTGAGAATTTGTTTCTTTAAACAATGATTCATTCTGATAATTACAGTAATTTTAAATTTAGTAGATGGCATAAAATTGGAAAATTCAAAAAAGTATAGTGCTATTTATAGCAGTTAATGTAAATTTGAGTTGTGAATGGAAATAGTATAGTACAAAATGCTAGTAATATATGACTTGTGGAAAAAATTCAAATTAGTATAAAAAAATTTAAAAAGTAAAGAATTTCAGAGCTTGGGCCATGTAAACTGTAAACTGTTCTTGACACATGGTGGCATCACTTTTGCTGGTAATAAAAAAGATTAATTTTTCTGTAAGGATTAATCTTGATTTTTGTGAGTTTTGGATTATGTGAGGTGTTCAGTTGTGCATTTCTTGCATAAAATGTGGTCACTGAGATAAAGAAGATGAAAACCGTCTGTAATCTCAACACCTAGAGATAATTGCTATTACTATCTTCATATGTATGTATAGAAATACATCTTAATAGTGTCTTACATATTGTTTTATTCTGTTTTTTTACTTAGCAAAAATACATGACTATTATATAGTAATGATTATAATAACTGTATATTCTACCATCTTTTATGTACCACAATTTAGTTGATTATTATAAATATCATAATAGGTGATTCCCAGTGTTTTCCTGTTAAGATATTTATGAGTAACTTTACAAATGAATGTTCCTTCTGTGTATGTGTGCACATCCCTGATTATTTTCTTGGGATTTATTTTCTAGAGGTAAAATGTAGTAGTTAAGGAATATACGTATTTTAAAGGATTCAAAGGGTCGTTGGAAAATATATTGCCAAATTGTTTTCCATGATGGTTTACTCATTTATAGCCCCAACAGCAGTATATGATACACCCCTCAACTGGGCATTTTTTCTTTTAAGTTCTTTGACTTGTGAGATTATCTGAGGATTGAAAGAAGCTAAAATACAATGGAACAGTCGTGATAAAAATAATAAAAATACAATAAAATTTATTTTGGAAATATTTTTTAGATTTTCTCCAATGCAGTAAAAATTTGATTCTCTCATATTAACAGAATATATATAATGAAAAAAACGTATTTTCTCCAACTCCTAAAAATTTTCTTGATAATATACTCAGTCATTCTGTGTTTTTCTGTTACATCCTAGGCAGTACAATGTAGATTATAAGCTGGAAACTTACCTGAAGATTGCTAGGCTATATCTGGAAGATGATGACCCAGTCCAGGCAGAGGCTTACATAAATCGAGCATCATTGCTTCAGAATGAATCCACCAATGAACAGTTACAGATACATTATAAGGTAACAGATGAGTTGATTTGGGATTAATTTTGTATTAAAGAATCCTACTATACTAAGATTCTCCAGAACATCTGATAAACGGTGTTATATATTAGAAATTATCTTTTATTTTTTGCTTTGATTTTTAATTTTTTCCCCAATTGAAAAATTTCCCTCTATAGGTATGCTATGCACGTGTTCTTGATTATAGAAGAAAATTCATTGAAGCTGCACAAAGGTACAATGAGCTCTCTTACAAGACAATAGTGCACGAAAGTGAAAGACTAGAGGCCTTAAAACATGCTTTGCACTGTACCATCTTGGCATCAGCAGGTAAACATGTAATTTGTGCTTTCATGAACAGTTACGTTTGCTTAATAATTTCAGGCTCATTACTACTAGAGGATTTAGCAAGGAACTATTTTTATTTTTATTTATGTATTTTTTATTTTTAAGATTTTATTTATTTATTTGACAGAGAGATAGAGAGCACAAGTAGGCAGAGTGACAGGCAGAGGGAGAGGGAGAAGCAGGCTCTCCACTGAGCAGGGAGCCTGATGGGGGGCTCGATCCCAGGACCCTGAGATATGTCCTGAGCCGAAGGCAGATGCTTAACCGACTGAGCCACGCAGGCGCCCCGCAAGGAATATTTTTAAATATGCATGTATCAGTCTGTTACCCACATGTGTTAGGAGTTATTAAGAGAGATAATATGAAGTTTAGTTTGTCTAATATCTCTCTTAAAAATGAATAATGAAATTAAGTGAGAATTATATATAAATTATATATAAAAGATTTTTTATTTATTTATTTGACAGAGAGACACAGCGAGAGACACAGCAAGAGAGGGAACACAGCAGGGAGAGTGGGGGAGGGAGAAACAAGCTCTCTGCAGAGCAGGGAGCCTGATGCGGGGCTCGATGCCAGGACCCTGGGATCATGACCTGAGCCTAAGGCAGACGCCCAGCGACTGAGCCACCCAGGCGCCCCTGAAGCAGTGATCTTACTTATTGTATTTTTGTTACTAAAAAGGCAGTATATAAAATGGTACTGCTTCCAGTTCTAAAGAACTTTTACTGGTTACTTGGATTTCCTTCAGTGTAAAAGTTCTGTGTGTGTCCTCTTTTTTTATAAACGGTATCATGATACACATGCTTTTGTAACCTGCTTTTTTCCTACCTGTATATTGGCAATCTTTATGTGTCAGTACATACCACTTATTCTTTTTGGATAAGCAATTGAGTATTCACTAATTCAGTGTGGGCAGCAACTTTGTAGAACATAACTGCTACAAATCAGGACAATTGACTATATTCTTAGTAGGCAAAAATTGAGTCATAACATAGTTTCTTATTGGAGAAATAGATTGTGAGGATATTTGATGCTCATTTGTTTCCCTTAGGACAGCAGCGTTCTCGGATGCTAGCTACTCTTTTTAAGGATGAAAGGTGCCAGCAACTTGCTGCTTATGGGATCCTAGAGAAAATGTACCTAGACAGGATCATCAGAGGAAATCAACTTCAAGAATTTGCTGCCATGTTGATGCCTCACCAAAAAGCAACTACAGCTGATGGTAATGATCATGTCTTAAAAATTTATGGGAGTGAGTATTTAGGTACACACTAGTGGAACGTGTGTTAAATTTGAAGCATCTTGTTATCTTTCTATAATATTTTTATATAACACTTGATGACCAAAAAGGAATATTATATTGACTAAAAATGAGTATTATATACAGATAGGGTTTGAATTATAAAAATAGCCCTATTGGAAAGCATATTGTAGAATAATGCATTTTTGGAAATTGTAAGGGCAGAATTACAGCCTATGTTAATAGTGCCTGGTTTTTATTTTTTAATTTTTATTATTTATTTATTTTTAAGGTTTTATTTATTTATTTGACAGAGAGAGAGACAGCGAGAGAGGAAACACAAGCAGGGGGAGTGGGAGAGAGAGAAGTCGGCTTCCTGCTGAGCAGGGAGCCCGATGCAGGGCTCCATCCCAGGACCCTGGGATCATGACCTGAGCCGAAGGCAGACGCTTAACGACTGAACCACCTGGGTGCCCCTAGCGCCTGGTTTTTAAAAAACTCAAACCCTTTGATAAGTACCTTAATTAATTTTAAGCATCAGTTTTTAACAGTATAATTATCCAGTCCTATTTTAGATAGAGTAAAATTTGGCACAGTAGCTTGCTTAAGGTTATTCAGGGTGAAAGTATTGCCAGTAAGAATAGAACTTGGTGTCATATTTCCTAATTAAGGGATGTATTTGTTTTATCAGGCTACCTTTTCCAGAAAAGTTTTTAATAGTTGCTTGTTTATAGCATCAGTCACTTTATATATGTTTGTCTACAGAGGTTTTAAAGTAACTTAAAACAATAACATATGTAATAATAAAAATAGAGCATCAGAAACATGAAAAAAGTCAAGATAAACACAGATTTGTTGGACTCGCTTCCTTGGATTCAATGAGAATATATCAAAGAGAATTTAGCTATAAAGAGTCATTTATGCAGGGGTTTGCTGAAAGGTATACACTTCACCCAGTCCTACTGCCCTGAGTTAAACCGGATCACTGAAGGGATTATAGTGATCTCCAATTTAATTTTTCATTTAATTTGTATTTTAAGAAGCAAACTAGTTGATTCTCACCTTTCTTTCCAAAGGAGGTATTTTTTTCTATAGGATATTCGTTACACAATCCTCAGGAAAAATTCCTTCACAGTCTTGCAGTTGTGATTCTCCTGAACAGTTGTTTTTTTATCTTATTAAACACACTTTGAGTTAATGAGCTGATTGGCTTTTCTTATCTTGACTGCTAGAAAGCTTATTAAATTTGTAGCCCACCTATAAATAGGTGTATGTATGTGTTTTGATTGTTGCTACTTTTAAATTCTTTTCCGTGTATTCTGAGCAGCTTTAACCATTTTTTTTTTAAAGATTTTATTTATTTATTCATGAGAGAGAGAGAGAGGCAGAGGGAGAAGCAGGCTCCTGAGGATCAGGGAGCCGGATGCGGGGCTCGATCCCAGGACCCTGGGATCATGACCTGAGCCGAACGCAGACGCTCAGCCATCTGAGCCACCCAGGCGCCCCTGAGCAGCTTTAAATTCTTTTTGCAAGGAGATACCTGACAAGTTAAAAGATAGTTAAAAAGAAAAAGTTACCAGGATTGATATAGTCAAGCTTCAGATTTGACTTTGAGCTTTCTGGCTATGAAAAAAAATGTGAAAAGATTCTTTTCTAAAAAGGATACTTACTAGGACCTCTGAGGATGGAGATAATTCTCAAATTTCTCACATGGGACTATATAGAGAGGACAGATGTTTTGTTCTTCTTCCATTTTAGGCCTTACTGTTTTTCGTCATTTATCTCTTTTGGACATTTTTGTTTATTGGCATTACAACCCTACATTAGCAATCATGAGACGTAATTTTTTTTTAATTACAATTCATTGTTTTTTAGTATATTCCGAAAGGTGTATAATATTACTACTAATCTGCTTTCTGCTCAATAGCTTTGTCTGTGGTGGGCACTTCATATAAGTGGAATCACACAATATATAGCCTTTTCACTTGGCAAAGTGTTTATCCATGCTGTAGCATTTATCAGTACTTTATTCCTTTTTATTGCCAAGTAATATTCTATATATGAATGTACCACATTTTATCTCCTCATCAGTTGATGGACATTTAGGTTATTTTCACTTCTGGGCTATTAATGCTTCTATGAATATTTATGTAAATTTTTTAAAATTTTAATTCAGTAAATTAATATATAATGTATTTTTGGTTTCAGAAGTACAGGTCTGTGATTCATCAGTTTTTACCCCATGCTCATTAAATCACAGGCCCTCCTTAATATCCATCACCTAGTTACCCCATCCCCCATCCCCCTCCCCTTCAGCAACCCTCAGTTTGTTTCCTATGATTAAGAGTCTCTTATGGTTTGTCTCCCTCTCTGGTTTCGTCTTGTTTTATTTTTTCTTCTCTTCCCCTGTGATCCTCTGCCTTGTTTCTTAAATTTCACATATCAGTGAGATCATGTGATAATTGTCTTTCTCTGATTGACTTGTTTCGCTTAGCATAATACCCGCTAGTTTCATCCACATTGTTGCAAATGGCAAGATTTCAGGGTTTTTTTGATGACTATGTAATATTCCATTGTATATATATGCCACATCTTTTTTTTTTTTTAATTAAAAGACTTTATTTGACAGAGAGACAGCGAGAGAGGGAACACAAATAGGGGGAGTGGGAGAGGGAGAAGCAGGCTTCCCACTGAGCAGGGAGCCCAATGCGGGGCTTGA